CCCCAAAACCCCAAAACCCCAAAACCCCAAGATTTAAACTATTTTAGAATTTTAAGTTTCAATTCATTAAAATATTTTAAGCTTCTAAAATGGACTTGACTGATTAAAAACTTGTAAAGCTGATGAATTTTGAAGGAGGATCTTATGAAGGATAGTTTAAAGGTAAAAAGTTTCACGGGTTTGGGGCATATAGGCTTATTAATGGAGACTTTTACATTGGAAATTTCAAAAATGGACTCAAGCATGGCTTAGGGCTTTACAAATTAGCTTTAGATGTAGAAGATTAAAATATAGGAGAAGTCTTTTATAAGGGAAGCTTTAAAAATGATATTAAAGATGGTAAAGGCTAAATGAGGATGTTTAATGGAGACAACTATGATGGAGATTTTAAAAACAATACGTTTCACGGGAAAGGCAAGCTGTAATTCTAGTCAGGAGACATTTATGAAGGAGATTTTAAGGATGGAAAATTTCATGGAATGGGAGTCTATATTTATGATAATAAGCAGCAATATAAAGGGGAATTTGTAAATGGAAAGAGAGAGGGCAAAGGAGTACTCACATCCTTAATAGATGATTCAAAGTATGTCGGGGATTTTATGAGAGATTAAAAAGATGGTGAGGGGTATTAGGTCATTGAAGGCATTGAAGAGTTCACTGGAAAATTCAGTGAAAACAAAAGGAATGGATTTGGCATATTAAAAGATCTCAAGAAAAACCAAATATATGAAGGAACGTTTGTGAATGACTTGAAATAGGGACAGGATTGCCTTCTTAAAATTCTAGTACCATAACCCTATGAGATCAAAGGCACTTTTAAGAAAGGTGAACTCATCAATGGTTAAGCTTAGCTGCCAGATGGATCAATATATGAAGGTGAGTTCGATAGATTGATACCTCACGGGAAAGGAACAATTAAGTATAAAAATGGCAATGACTACAGAGGATAGTTTGTTTAAGGAGTGAGAGAGGGTTATGGAAGATTTTTTGATAATAGAGATAACTCTTTATATGAAGGTGACTTTAAGAGTGATATGTTTAACGGTAAAGGAAAGTATACCTTCTCAGACGGTAGTAGTTTTGTTGGAATATTTATAGACAATATTCTTGATTCAAAGCTGAATGAAGAGTCTTGAATTTGTAGAGATAGTATTGTATTATAGATTATTTAAATGAATATAGTGGATGAAATGAGATTCACGGGGTTTTGGGGTTTTGGGGTTTTGGGG